ATGGGTATTCGTTGTTGTTACTACTAGATAGCCTTCTTCGCATGTTGTAACTAGATGCTAGCAAGAAGTTGCTAACTTCAAGTTTGAACTTTAATTCGCCTAGGGCCAGTAGCTTTCCTTCAAGGAATGGTTGACATAAATTTTCAATATTACTTGACCAAAATCCCATAATTATCAATCAAATCTTCATTATGTTTGAACTTTGATTCGCATAGGGCCAATAGCTTTCCTTCAAGGAATTGTTTCTTTTTTCCATCATTGGCAGAGTACAGATGAAAATTTTTCTAGAGTAACCTAATTCAATCATGATGCATGGATACTTTAGATCTTAGCTATTCCTAGCGAAAAACCTTTTTTTAGCCTATTAGTTCGCCTATCAAAAATGATTTCCTTAAGTTTTATCCATAATGAGTTCCCAGAGTTGTCTTAAGAACTGGTCTTTATCATCAATGCAATTTGTAAATCATTTTTATTATTTTTTAGTGGAGTACAATGATTACATAACAAACAAGTTTTAAAAAAAGAAAATTTTAACATCACCCCTACTCTTACCTCTGGAGACTTCTCTCCCTACAAAAGTTTGAAATCAATATGCTTCATGACTTACATATTCTTTCATGATGCATGGGCGGTCCTAAGTTGATCTAAGCTTACTGAGTGATGTTTGCTTTGTAGCTTTTTTGATATTATTTGGAACAAGTCATTGGCTCAAAATATTTTTTACTTGGCGATTCAGTTGTAGTACTTGGTTGTCCTTCTCTTGATTTCCTCCTCATTGTTGATTGTATTTTGAATTCCTTTAGTATGTCGAGCACTATCATCTATGCTCATCACACCTAATACAATATTGGATCATGATTGGTTTATAGGTTATAAAAAAAAGCTTACCAACTAGAAGGTAAGAAATCTTGATAGATAAATATAAATAACATTTGGGAAAATAAAAAATACACTATGACGCTCAAGCAAGTACACAATAAGAGGAATACATATCTCAAAATTCGAGAACGGAATCCTTGGCTCTCTCTGAGATTCCCTATTTATTGAATGAGTTATACAAGTAATATATAATAAAATAAAAAAATTTTGAGGGATGTGCGGCCAAGAACAAACTCAAACTGAGACTGGTAGCTGGCCATCAAGAATGGAGTCGTAGAGTAGATATCTGATCTAGGCGGATTGAGCAATTCTGATGAAGGTATTCAGCGAGTCTCTTATGAACCTAAATCAATGTTGAAAGGAGCAAACCAATGGAACTTCAGTTTGTTCGATCAAATCACTGCGATCTGCCTTCCTGCCACAATCATCACACACTTCCCGGTGCAAATCAGAATGTCCTTCACTAGACTCCTTCCTGATTCGGAGATTCATCCAATTATTTTTTTCACACTCTTGACCAATTGAAATATAGTAAAGGCAAGTATATATGTCACTTAAGTAGTATAAATATTTAATTAAAAATCATTCTCATGATAATCTATACAAAGTTTCAGAATTACTAATTACTAGTGTCAATCACCTTAGCTTCTATTCATCAAACAAAAGTTTTAAAATTTGTCCGATTAATTTTGTTAAACGGATTTAAAAAGAATTAAAAACCCTATGCCTTTATTGATTGCAAAATTTTAGTAAATATATCTACTTGATCAAAATTTTAGTCACTAAACTCCTATATTTTAATTTGAACTATATTGAAATCTCAAAATCATATAAGATTTTAAATACATGCATGATCATTACATATACTAAATAAAATTGGACATAAAGTGAACATGTGCACTTCAATTAAACCCCAAGACTCTGTGCCTTAGACCTAACATGATAGCCCATTTCCTTACCTTTCATTTAGGTCAAACTGCCCTTCAGTGCACATAGGCAAGCCAACTGAAATGCATTTTACCCATTCAACTTACGCACTTCCAAACAAGGCACTGGTAGCAGTGCAGAACCCTTTATGTGAGGGTGCCCACCCTCAAATTTTGTATTCCTTTTTCAAATGTGAACTTTTATAAATTTGCCCACCTTTATTTTACACTTCTGCCCACTTCTTATCAGAAAATGCCCAACATAATCCCTTATTCTTTTTATACATTTCTAAATTTTTACATTCATGTTTATTTACATTTTTCAATTATAAAACTAATTATTACTATTTTTATCTGTTAATTAGTATATTATTTAATTAATTAAAACTTTGTCCACCCTAAAAAGCTTGGGTTGATTCAGTTTCTGACTGCTAGCAGCTAACAAACGCAAACTTGAAAAAACACGCGCGGCATAATCAACCAGCGCCACGGGATTCTAACTCTAAAAATATCACAAAGCTGAAACTCTGCAATGGAACGAGGCCAAAAATTGGATGTACAAGAATCCGAAAAACGAATAGCTTCAATAAACCAAAGATATGAGGAAAGCATAAAGAAAACAAAAAAGATACCTGGCAAGCACTACCACAATACCATGCAATCCGGCATCCCGAACATTTCCTCAAGTTAGCAGATGCAAAGCAACCATCACAAAAAGAGCCGGTGGAAGATTTACTCGGCGAGCTCGCATATGGTTCTTGCTGAATAATCACATCTCCTGCGGCAAGCCACACTTGAACTCAGCAACAAGCGAACCTACGTCTTCGGCTTTAAGAACTTCAAAACGCTAGAAATTCAAGAAGGAAAAGGGGAAGCAAGGAAGGAGATGGACCTGGGTGAAAATCTTTGGCAGCGACAAGACCACGGCCTTTGCCGGGGATTGTTGAGACCGTCAAGCCAACTGCAGAGAGAGCACGCTCCAGAGTGTTCATGTTCCTCGGTCCTTCTGAAAGCTCCCCTCCCCGTCCAGGAACTTTTATTCGGTCCAGAGTCCGGGTCTAATTATAAACTGACTGGCCACACCTCCATAAAATAAAAAAAAAACAGCCATTTTAAGCAGGTGACCCGCCCAACCAGAAATATTTGCGTCAGAAATTTTGCTTGAGTTCTACATTAATCCATCAATTTTCACATAATAATTTATGAATAATATCTAAATAGAACACGCGAAGTTTATTGAAAGGTTATTACGATTATAAATTATTATAATTAATACCTCAATAACCTCTCAATAACTCCTTAATAACCGCGAAGCGGAGGTTATCGTGCGTAATACTACCCAAATATATCTCAACCCTATCTAGCATTCTTTGACCAAAAAAGACATTTTTGTCGCTTTCCCGCATATTTAACCACGCCGGCCCGGCAAGAACTCCGCCCCGGCCAGAACTTCGCCCAATCGATAGAAATTTAAACTATCAAAATAAAACGGCAGGATGCAGTGGTAAGAGAAACCGTCACCTGGCTTGATTATTTCTTCTTCATTCCTCCCCCTTTGGCCAAAGAAATCGTTGTGTTCTAGGATTTGCACTCGAAATCGTCATTCCTCCTATTTTAGTCCACTCTTTACACGAAAATGGAAGCAAACCAGGTCACCGAGGAGACTGAAGTGTCGGAGAAGATGGAAACTACAGAGCATAAGAAAGAAGGCAAAGAGATGAAGAATAAGGAGACCAAAGAGCTCAAGAGTCATGAAAGCGCATCGAGGTAATATCGTTTTTTGTTGTAGTTGCTCTCAAAATCTAGCATTACATTAAGGTGTTATTTCAATGCCTTTTTTTGTATTCATTATGGTGATTTTTTGAAAAAAAAAACTTACAAAAGTCTGCAATAAAACCTAAAGAATATCAAAATAACACAATAATGAATATAGAAATAATGCCTCAGTTACGCATGAGTAACACTAAAATAAGACTATAATAAAATCATAATAATATCAAAATAATACCAAAATAATACTAAAATAATACTATAACAACACCATAATAACACTAATATCATAATAATATCATAATAACACCATAATAATACCATAATAAAGTCATGATAAAATCATAATAATGTCAGAATAACACTCAAAGAACACCTTAAAAAAAGTTGAATAACACCTCAAATTGCTTTAATGTTGTTGAGATGTAATTTTTTATTGTTGCATTCGTGTTATTGATTTATAGATGGCTAATTGGCTATATTTTTTTACATGAACTTTTTTGTAGGTTTGTGAATCCAATGTCTTTCAATTGCAGTTGTCGTTCATCTATTGTAAGAGACGTTCTTGCTATGGTCAAGCCCGGCCTATCAGAGGAGAGAAGGAATAGCTTGAGAGTATTGAATGTAGACTATTTTTTTTCCTTCCTCCTTATCTGCAAGACAATGTTCTGACACTGTAAATATTAAATTGTCGGCAATATGAACAAATGGTATTCAGATTGTCGGGAAAAGATCTTAGAATAAGCCTTGATGAGATTGCCCTGCTGATAGGCATGCCAAACAGAGGAAAAGCAGTAAAGTAGAAAAAAAGTGTCATCTTCTGGTGTGGATGCACGCCAATTTAAGAATGACATTTTGAATGTTTCAAGCAGGGAGTGTTCTACACCTTTTGATGAATTGTTTTTAAAGTTTTTGTTATCAAATTTATTTTTTACTTATAGTAACTTTAGTGTTCCTAAAGATTTTCACATCTTTGCTGAGAATGTATAAACTTTTAGCTCATTTAATTGGCCTGTAGCGCTATGTGATTTTCTCATTGAGCAAATCAGTAGCCATTAAAATAAGGCTTAATCAGTCTTTAGGATATATAAATGGTTTTCTTTATCTCATAATAGTTAGTGTATTATTTGAACCTCATAAAACTTTATTCATTTTGTTCAAAGCATAATATGACATTACTCTTACATAGCTCTATTTTTACGAGCATACAACTTTGTTCACTCCTTCCGAACCTGATGCCAGACCCAGAATGTTGAGGTGGTCAACCGATGTAAGCTGGAATTCGTCGCAACTTGACATTACCTTCAAGAGGCTCAGTCCAACACAAGTAAGTGATTTAAATCAATAGTTAACATTCTCGCTTTTTGAAGAATTGCACTTGTTTAACTTTTGCTTTATTCATGTGTTATCCTAATGTTTCTTTAATGTCTTATGATTAAATTTTAAATTACTAATGTGCTATAATTCTTATTTAAATTGTAGGTTCGTGATAAATTTTTTGATTTAAAAGGGGATGAACATCATTTGCTGGCCAATCATGACAAAGGCTTACCCAATCCGATAAGGCCATTCCCGCACCAAGAAGATCAAGACAAACCACAATCATCCGTGGCATGTGATGTGGGACCAGTAGTCTCGAGTGACATCGCCCCAAAGGCAGGAAAAGCTGGAATGAATCAAAGCCTTGAAATAATCATTGGGCTACTTAGAGCTCAGGAGAAGTGGTTTAGGGAATTCCAAGGAGCACTCAATATAATAAATACAGGAGCCGTAAATAAACAAGAGACAATGTCAGGACTGCAGAGTACTATTGAAAAAACAAAGCAAACAAAAGTTGACAAATGTAGTGAGTTGAAAGAGAAGTATACCATGAAGTTCTCTCCTGTAGCTAAAGGCATTTGATTCAACGAGTATGGAACCCAACAACCATCTTCAGCTGAAGGGATCGATGAGTTGAACGAAAAGGAAACTTATCAATCATCCCTTGCTGATGAAGATATTGAGTTGCCAGAAGAAGAACCCATAAGAACTTCATTAGCAACTAAATTGAAAGGGTGAAGGGTCGAAGAAGCAGAAGAAAGAGGAAGTTAACTTTCCCTTATGTTGGTTTTGAGTATAAAAAAAGAAAGCCAATAAAGGATGTTGTTGAGCCCTCAGAAGTTCTTCCGAAAACTCCTGCCATAAAGACTGAGAAGTTGCCTGTACATACCGACCTGATTGTAGATAGCTCAGCCATCGAGAAGAACCAATAAAGTCACATGGCGAGGAAACAATAATAATTCCAGCTGTAGATAGTTAGGCCAAAAAGGGCCTTAATATAATAATAGATCCTGTTGCACAATCCATAGTTACTGAGGAAGTTCGTCGAATAACAGAACTTGTTGCCACTTCATCCATCAGAGATGATGAAGTTCATGAACATTTTTAGAGATTGGATCAGATAATAAAGGATGTTGTGCAATCTAATAACCTTGACATTAACCACTTTAGGAGATCAGCAAGAAATTTTTCATTCATAGGAATACGCGATAGTGGTATGATGAAATGGCTTTAAATATAGTGTTTTGTATATGCTAATTTGACATTATATATCTCTTAAGTACTATTGTTTTGTAGTCACATCACTTGGTGCTGAACATCAATTTTCCTGGTAGAGTACTTATATCCCTTGAAATGCAAGATGTAATCGATGAATGTATGTTCATGTACAATCACAGGTGAGTAGACCTTTTCTGTATATGTGTTGCAATTGGTTTACAATCCATGAATGTATGTCCATGTACAATTGATTTACACTCAAAAGTCACTAAGATTTTGTCTCAACACTGGAGGCATGATATTTTGATCAACGACGGTTGCGTTGTCATAGACTATGACAAAATATTAGATTTACTAACAGAGGGTTGGATTGCAAACGAACATTTAGATGCCTTTGTCGCTCTATTGAAGAGAAAGAATGATAACTATCCTAATTCATTCAGACTATATTTATATGTGAAACAATTATACTTAAAAAGTACACAAATTCTACTTAATTATGAAGTCGTTACTAAAATAAGTTTTTTATACTCCGTCCAATAACATATTTGTATGATGTAATGTAGATGAATAGACGTGGCCAAACCTCTACGTTTGTTAGATATATCACAAAAGATGAGGTAAAAAATTCTGGCATCATATTATTTCCTATTATTCACAATGAACACTGGGTAATGCTGGTTGTGGAGTTGAAAGAAAGAAAATGGAAGTTATACAATTCATTACCCAGCCAGATACACAAAGCCATGTGTAATGAAGTTGTAAGTATTCTTAACAGAATATCTCAATCTTTATTTAGCGTTGTCAATGCACTAATCACTTTCACATAAAAATTTTCCAATTCAAATTGTTTTTAAAAGATGTTGGAAACGCTTTCAGGGTCAAACTGTCAAAATATCCACTATTAATCGTAAAATGAGTCATTATACAAAATAATAGTATTGATTGTGACATGTTTGTCTGCAAGTTCATGGAAAAAAGTAGTTCAATCCACCGATGTGACTGGAGTGAAGAACAAGATTAGAAGTTGGATATGCTGAAATTTAGGGCAGAGTTTGCGCATGACCTTTGTACATGGACTATGTCTCTTAAGTGAATGATAATCTTTTCGAATGGATTTTATTTGATTGTTCGCTCTTGATCCGGTTAACTTGATTTTATGTTGGATGTTTTCCTCTGTATTATTTAGAATGTACCAATGCATGTGATCATATTTGTAGTAGTCTGATATTTTGTTATTTTTTAGTAATTTATCACATATATGTTCTTTCTTTGTTAGCTTTAGTTTAAGTTATGAAT